CATCACATCTTCATCATGAATGTCAATGTAATCATCACACACATTATGATCCTCAACTCAACATCTTATCAATCATCAACATCCTCTTTCATCAACATCACATCATAATCATAAACATCACATCATCAAATCATCATCAACATCAATCTTCATTATCAACATCACATCATCACATCAACGTCATCATCATCATCAAAATTAAATCCTCATCATCAACATTATCATCATGAAAATCAACATCATCAGCATCATCCACATCATGATCATCAACATCAACATTATCAACATCAACATCAACATCTTCAACACTAACGTCAACATATTCATCAAGATCGACATCATGATCATCAACATCAACATCATCAAAATCATCATCAACATCAACATGATCATCATCATCATTAACATCTTCATTATCAACATCAAAATCATCAACATCAACATCAATCAACATCAACATCAACATCATCAACATCAACATCATCATCATCAACATCAACATCATAATCATAAACATCAACATCATCAAAATCATCATCAACATCAACATCAACATCATCAAAATCATCATCAACATCAACATCATCATCATCATCATTAACATCTTCAATATCAACATCAACATCATCAACATCAACATCAACATGATCATCATGTAAATCAACATAAATTTTTTTCATCAACATCATAATCATCAACATCAACATCATCAACTTCAACATGATCATCAAGATCCACAACATGACCACAACATCAACATCAATAACATCAAGATGAACATCATCATCATCAACATCAATATCATAATCATAAAATCAACATCATTAAAATCATTATCAACATCAACATCATCATTATCAACATCAACATCATCAACATCAACATCATCATCATCAACATCAACATCATCATCATCATCATCAACATCATCATCATCAAAATCATCATCAACATCAACATCATCAAAATCATCATCAACATCAACATCATCATCATCAACATCAACATCATCAACATCAAAATCATCATCATCAACATCATCATCAACATCAACATCAACATCATCATCATCAACAACATCAACATCATCATCAACATCAACATCATCATCATCAACATCATCATCAACATCAACATCAACATCATCATCATAAACAACATCAACATCATCATCATCAACATCAACATCATCATCAACAACATCAACATCATCAACATCAACATCAACATCAAATATCATCATACATCAACATCATCATCAACATCAACATCATCATCATCAACATCAACATCATCATCAACATCCACATGATCATCAACATCAACATCATCAACATCAACATCAACATCATCAACATCAACATCAATAACTTCAATATCATATTCATAAAACACAACATCAACATCATCAATATCATCATCTTCAACATCAATATCATCATCATCAACAATACCATCATCGTCATCATAAAAATCAACATCATCAAAATCATCAACAATATCAACATCATCATCATCATCAACATCATCAACATCAACATCATCAACATCAACATCAATCATCATCAACATCAACATCATCAACATCAACATCATCATCATCAACATCAACATCATCATCAACATCAACATCATCATCATAATCATCAACATCATCAAAATCATCATCAACATCATCAACAGAAATTCATCATCATTACCATTATCTTCATTATCAACATCAACATCAATATCATCAACAACAACATCATCATCATCATCAACATCATCATCATCATCAACATCATCAACATCAACATCATCAACATCAATATTTTCATCATCAACATCAACATCATCATCATCAAAATCATCATCATCAATATCAATATCATCATCATCAACATCATCATCAACATAAACATCTATATTAAAATCAACATCATCATCTTGAACATCGACATCGTCATCACATCATCAACATCATTAAAATCAACATCAACATCATTGTCATGAACATCAAGATCATCATCAACATCCACATCATGATCATCAACACCAACAACATCAACGTCAACTTCAACATTATCATCATCAATTTCAACATCAACATAAATGTCATCAAAAACAACATCATCATCATCATCAGCATCATCATCATCAGCACCATTATTATCAACATCAACAACATAAACATCATCATCATAAACATCAACATCATCGAAATCATCATTAATATCAACATCATCATCAAAAACATTTCTTATAAAAATGAGGAAAATATGTCTGCTGAGTCAAATTATGATGATGTATTCTTTTAATTATTCAATAGTAGTTTTGTGTGGCTCGCTTAAATACTGCTTTTAATTATAACCTTCCACTTGTCAGTTCAAATAAATGTATGGTAATCAGCAAATCATCGTTAAACGCAAGTTTAAATATATAGATAGCATGTTTTTGATCATATTTGTTGTTTAAATTATAATAAACGAATTTGTACAGGGTTATCGAATGGCATCTTTTTCCCTCATTTACACAACTATCATTTAAAAAATGATTGCCGTCATTATGCGTTACAATTCGTCAGCTAGGCTTAATTTTGTACACTTAAAAACCCAGTTTAAGAAGTTCATATGAAGATATAACCTCATAATGCAATCATTCCAAATGCAGTACTCCAAAAAAAATTCATATTTTATAGTATTAAATATTTTACAGAACCAATAACACTTAGGTTAATAAATATTAGATTTGAGGAGCGGAAGTGTTTCACAAATTCATTTTTTATCTGACATAATCATAATCTAACAAAAATACTGAGTTCATCACTTTTTTCTATACGATTATAAAATTTTGTTACCGCGCTAATTTTAAAAAGGGCAGTGATTTTTGTACTTGTTGTGATTATACTTGCTTTTGGTACTTATTGCACTAAAAAGCATTCTTGGTCTACTTTAACTAAGAGTTCTTTGGTTAAAGTTTGAAATTTTTTGCTACATTTTGTCCTGGGTACCTGTTTTTAGTCCTTGACTAACACTTGTGTTCACATTGTTATCATTTTTGTTTTTAAACCTTTTAAATCGAATTACAATGGTTGGTAAGACTCACAAATGTGGGAAACCAAATTGTTTGTTCTCCGTTGACGAGGGAATGCAGTGTGACGACTGTAAAAAGTGGTATCACAAAATGTGTACACGACTAGGTCCGACGGCTTACAAAAGATGCTCGAAGCCTAACTCGCATTGGTTTTGTGTGTTCTGCTGTACGGATAAAAAGGAACTAATACAGGAGGCTATGGGCCTATTGGCTTTGGCCTGCAAGAAAAACGATGGCGGAAGCACTGATAACAGGAGCACTGACGATGAAGAATGTGTCAGTGTAGTAAGTGCTGCTACTGGACCCATTAAACACCTGACTGCGGTTGACGGGAACGTGAAATCTCCGTTGACATTAACGAGAAATGAAGTGTCACTTGATATTGACATCGGCAGTCATACACCTCTAGTCGAAATAGAAGATCCGGATAAAACTGTCACCGTTCCACATAGTCCAGGTGTGGCTGTTCTGAGTGGTGACAAATGGACTTCGGTAAGAAGAAAAAAAAATTAGAAGAAAAAGGCTGTAGGCAAAACGCAGCTGGTCAGCAAGACATTGGAAGGGACTTTATCAGAAGAAAAATCCTCACCGCGTGAAAAGACAGATCTCTCTGAGAGATCAGTCATTTTTCATAAGATGAGAGAATCTTCAGACACTGAACCAAAGGCAAGATTTGAACATGATCTCAATCACATTAAGACATCATTAAGTAAACTACTCCCAGATACAGTTTCAGGAGTTAGTATTTGTAAGCTTTATAGTATAGGAAAAAAGGTGGATTCCGAAAGTCCTCAGAAAAACCGCCTCCTAAAGGTTACATTCAACACGGTGGAAGAAAGGAACCCGGTTCTAAGTAATTCACGTAAACTGATTGGATCCGGAATATATGTCCGTGAGGACCTCAGAAACGTAAACCGACGGAATCTGTAAAAATATCCAATTAAACGTCACTATACATATGGTTACTTATGGCCTATCGATCAAATAGGCTGTAAATACTATAATAAGTGACAAACCGTAGCTCTGAATTATGTCCGGCATTATATTTTTATGGGTTGTCCTTAAAAGGGCAAAATTCCATAAGTGTGTGATTATGCGTTATGATGCAGCTAACCTCCACTTATCGGATGCTAAACGAAGTGTAGATTGTTACCACTCTATCCATTTTAATGGCTTTCATTGCATTTTTAAATAGAAAAGTTTGATAAGTAGTTGGTTTTTGTACACAACACACTACCTGAAGAAGCTGCTTTACATCAGTTTATTAGTGAATAATTCGACTTTTGGATAAACTTAAGTTTCAGAAGAGCAAGCGACCTTCAAAAAAACTCGTTACTGAGTTGCGTCACCCAGAACGAAGAATTCCCAGTTACTGTCTTCAGTGCTGGACTTCATCCGTGAAATTATGTGATCACTAAGAAGCAAAACTCAATTCCACTTATCGTATAAACATTTTAAATGATCAAGAAAATGGTTTGTATGTACTTTAACTAGTTTTATTACAATGTTGCAGATATTCCTGGATTAACTACTTGTCGTGTTTATTTTTTTCTCATTTTAAAATGGCCCAGCTTTCAGAAAACGTACAGTGAATAACAACAATAACAATACGATAATATCATAACTAATAATCCCTTTGAAACAGTTACCCTTCACTTATTCTTTATGTGAAACAAGTTTTTATAAACCACTTTCTTATAATTTCAGTCAAGTGCAATTATTTATGTTGTTACAAATATTACTAGAAAATAATGATGATAATAATCATGCAAGACATAATAAAAAGGATGATTACAAGCTTATTTGTCAAACTACTGAAGTCATGTACAAACTTTCTATTATCAAATACTGACAGAAGAGAATTTGATTTTGATTTCATCAACAACACCAGTTTTTTGTCAACGTAACTGTAAAATGAAACAAAACATGGGAAGACGCACCACATACTATCGAGTTCAGGAATTGTGTTGCCAACTGAATATATATATATATATGTGTTAGCGGGACATAAACTAGATTAAAGCATGCTCAATGCATGATTGCTTTGGTACACGCTGATTGGCTAATTCTTATCCAATCAGCACTAGTCGATAGTTGGAGAATATTCTGGAATCTTCTTATGTAAAAACTATAAATATACTGACGTTTTTCCCTATTGTGCTTCTGGCTTGCATCTTGCTTCCATCTAACCTTGTTATTTGGAATATAATCTCTTTCCTGTTCAACCGTGTTCTGATTTGGGGTCTTGTCGAGTGAATCGGTGTCCAAGAATACTAAGCAATAGGAATAGCTGGGTCATAACCGTAAGAAGAAAGAGGTTATAACAGTGGGGACGGGTAAGAACTAAAGAAAAATGGCTATTTCTTTAGAACGGTTGCGGTTAATATTACAGCACCAGCAGATGTTGTTAGCCTTGCAACAACAACTATTGAGCACACTTTTCACTCGACCAGAAAATAAGAAGTCTGTTTATGATGCAGTAACAGACATTTCAGAAGCATATCTAGTGGAGGGTTCAAATCCCTTTATACCTGAATCAGAACGTAATATTTGTAACGTGTCCGGCTCACAGCAAGAAAATACTGTGCTGAATGATCATAAAGTTGTGGCAATACGGGATGATCAAGAGCCAGACCCTGTAGATGAAGCCCGGAGTCCAGAATTGAATGAAACACTACTCGTCCTGTCTAGCCCTGAAAATAAACTTCAGCTAGAACAAAATTATGGTCTACGTGATATTAGCCGAAAAATCTATGGGGACTCGTATTCACAAAATAACTGCAGTGACACGATGAACCCAAATATACTGAATGTTACTCAAAATCATTGTGAGATAGAAATTTATATTGAATCAGCTTATCCGATTTCTAATGACAATATATCAGATATTGGTTCTCAGAATAATGCATGTAATTTTGATGAAATTTCTTATAAAAATAAGGACAATATGTCGGCTGAGTCAAATTATGATCAAAAGTCTAATTTAATTTTGTTAAATGTTGATTTCCGTAACGATTCATTATCCACTGATGAAATTCCTAATGGATTTGAAAGTAATGCTTCAGAAGAATTAAACTCGAACCTCAAATCAAAGGTCGTTCATTATCATCTAGTCATTTCTAGTGAATCCGACATTCAATGTGAGAAACATCGTTTAAATAAAGGCCTATTATTTGTAATTTGGAGACATAAGGACCCAACATTATTTCGCGGAGGAGGAGAATGTTGGAGAATTAAAATTTATGCATACATTTTTTTAGAAAAAAAAATCAAAACGCCGGGAACAGACACGTCAGTCTCTGTGCAAGAAAAAAGAGATAATTCTTTATTGCTTAGACGATGAACTAATCGAAAGCACAAGCCAGTCACTCAGTTGCAGTTGGACCCTAGCACCAGATCCTACGAATCTGCTCAAAGGGGAGGTGTTAGCGGGACATAAACTAGATTAAAGCATGCTCAATGCATGATTGCTTTGGTACACGCTGATT